TAAAATCAATATAAAGATATAATTATTGTGGCTTCTAACATTAAGCGTGCAATTGCCTTAAACTATTCATCATTGCATGTACGTTTCACATCAGAAGGAGACACAGCGAGCTTGCATATTGCTGGCTACTCATGTGTGCAGAAAAAATCAAAGTGCAAGTTGCGCACCACTTGAGCATGTGAAGTGCTTGCAATTTGATCATTTGACTCCTTCCTAGTTCGATTCACGAAGCTCAAGATCGACTAGTTTGTTTGAAAAGAAAACGAGGAAGAAGACTATTTGATGAGGACATCGACAGACGCTACCGACATGTTTATCGACGGCGGAATCGTAGATCGACGGCCACGATTCAGCGCCTCTACTTTTGATTCAGATCTCATGATGTATTATTTAGTATTTTCAGTTTTTCCATTTTTACCCCTGTGGGGAGTTGCTTTGTTATTGTAGCCCAGAGGGCAATTTCGTACTTAATTTTTTTTTCATGAGTTGAGACCTATATATAGTGGTCTCATATGTTGTATGGAGGTTAATGAATATTTTGAATGAAATCTTGTTTTGTCATCTTTTTCTTCTTCTTCTTCTTGTGGCGCACTAGAGAGGAGAACGAGGGTCAAGGTGAGGGCGAAAAGCAATACCCGCCAGTCATTGGAAGAATTCGTGACTCGTGGTCTATCCCCATCATCCCGATCCCCTTCCTTTCCCCAACCCGCCATCCCTAATCCCCTCTTGGCCGCCAACCACCCCACCTCCTCCACCGTCGGCCCTCTTCCCCATTCCCCACTTGTTCAAATTTTGAAAATACAAAATTATTTGAGTTCAAAAATTTCCAAATTTGTCAAAGCCATGGGAAGTTTTCAAATTCAAATCAATTCGAAATTTGAATCGAAGTGGATTTCATAATCAAACCTTCTCATGCAAACAAGCAAATTTGGAAGGTTCGTAATTTGCTCCCACCCTTTCCCTCTCCCTCTTGATGCTGCCGGCCTCACTAGGCTTCCCCCCCTCCTTAATTGCCACATTAATCCCTCACCCATTTGAAATTAAAAATTAATTTCAAATAAAACTCCCTCCCAAAATTTCAAATCCTGAAATTTATTTCAGGATTTGTTTTAAAACTCCTCCCTCTCCTCTCTTGAAATCGCCGGCCTCCCCCTCCTTAACTCCCCCATTAATTCCCCAATCAAGGCTTTAATTCCATTGATTTGAAATTCAAAATTCAAGTCAATTCCCTCCAAATTTACTCAAAACTGAAATTAAATTTCAGATTTTGATTAATCTCCTCCATAAGTTCTAAACATAATTTCTCCAAACCCTAGCCTTTTCCCACTTGCACCCGCCAGCCTCACCCTCTCTCCTTGGGAATCCCGCCGCCCCCTCCTCTTCCTCTGACGTCCTCGCATACCATAATTGCTCTACTCTCTCCACCTCTTTTCCCCTCTTAATGTTGGAGTTCTTTCCAACGTCAAGCATGCATGGCGGATCACGAATTTGAGTGGGGCCTTGTATTCAACGCCGACGGAAGCCTTAACATCCTAAGATCTCCATTTTTTGACATGGGATTTGAAGACGAAGCCACCGTTGGAGATTATTTGGAGCAAGTTGTCCCTACTCTTGCAAGCGTCATCGACCGCCAACTTTCAAACTACGATTGGAGCATCGTCGGCCACCCACTACCTCCATCTCCACCGGCTACCTCTCCACCAACGAAGTTCTTCGGCGCCTTCTCTCTAGTGGTAATATCCTTCATCATATGGGTCATCTTTCTCCGCTAAAAGCCTACAAATAATTGAGTGAGACGGCCCTTGAGGTGAACCTCTCATTGTTAAGCGTTGGATTTTGTTAATTGTACTTTGCATTTAAATCACCTTGAACTTTGAAAGAATTGTCTTGGTTATTTTCTATTGCACGTCTTTGGCCTAAACAAATTAAAAATTTCAAAATTCTTAACTCACTTTTATGTGCTAGCATTAAATTTAAATGAGCAATACTTTAACCAACTTTCTTTCTAATTTCTAATCGTAACTCCTAGTAGTTTCACATCACTATTTCACTTGAAGAATTAAAGACCAAGACCAAGAACACGCACATTGTTCACTTTGAACAAATTTTCACCTTGACCTTGAGCATCTATGAGGGCATGAAGGAGAAAATGTGTCTTGACATTCTGCAAGATTTCAAGTTTTCTCCTTCGTGTCTCATTGCCTTATTTTTCTCATCCACATGGCTTACAAATATGAACAGTTTATGATAGCTCTTCACGTAGCCTCAACAAACCAAAAGCACTGCTTTTTCACATGTTCTCTATGATTTTTTTGGTAATCTTTACTCCTTATAGATTCCATTCTTGTCTCCAATTTTGAATCATTAGATTCTTTTATTTTGTTTTTTTTTTTCTCAACTCCATATGGACTTGATTTTGAGATTATCTAAAAAATTATCCATAACTTCTATAGTGACGTGAACTTTCTTTGGAATTATTTTTAAATTGGACGTATTATTGTTATGACACACAATTTTGATATAATTTATGCTATTTGTTATTTATGAGGATTTGATAATCTTAAATTATAGATATAATCAATTTTAATGTGAGAAAGGATCTTACTTGGAAGCTACAAAGTCAAAATCTGAGTCTAAAACTATGCCATGCATATTATGATAAATGGCACAATGAAGATATGTCTTGACCCAGGTATCCCAAAGGACTAATCTGCAAGAAAGTTCCTTCACACGCAAAAGAAAAAGGATTGCCGAGTAGGTCTCCTATGGAAGCCATACATTTACTGAGATGTTTGATGGAGAAGTATAGAGAGAAAAATGAAGATATTTATATGGTATTTATTGATTTAGAAAAAGCTTATGATAAAGTTCCAACAGAAGTGCTATGGATAGTTCTAAAAAAGAAATGGGTTAATAATGCTTATATTCAAGTCATTAGAGATATGTATGTTGAAGCTATTACTTGTGTTCAAACATGAGGTGGTTTGACCAAGTATTCTCCAATTTTATTTAGAATTACAACAAGGATCAGCCTTAAGCCCATATCTTTTTGCTTTAGTCATGGATATTCTTACTAGAGATTTACAAGAGGATGTTCCCTGGTGTATGTGTTTTGTTGATGATATTCTTTCTTGTTGATAAGACTAACGAGGGAGTTGAAGGTAAACTTGAATTATGTAGGTCAACCTTAGAGTCTAAATATTTTCATTTGAGTAGATCTAAAACCGAATACATGGAATATAATTTTAGTAGTAATAGATGGGGTTTCTAATTTTGAACATTAATAAGAGTACACATTTTAGATGTATTGGGTCTATTGTTCAGAGTGATGGTGTAATAGATGGGAATATTATTAGTAGAATTCAAATTTGATGGATGAAGTGGAGGAATGCATCAGGCTTGCACTCAAACTTAAGAGAAAATTCTATAGGATGGTGGTTAAATCTGCAATGCTTTATGGCGTAGAATGTTGGCCATTAAAAGAGAAGCATAATATTAATTGTTGTAGAGATGAGGATGCTCAGGTGGATGAGTGACTTTACTTTTAGAGGCAGTACGTGAAAAAGTTGGAGTAGCTCCAGTGGCAGATAAGATTAGAGAGAGTCACCTTAGATAGTTTGGTCACATAAATCGGCGGTCTTCTGATGACCCGGTTAAGAGAGTAGATGTATCATATTTAACCTAGGTTAATAAAGATAAATATAGACCTAAAAAGACTCGGTTAACCAAATCTTGTAGGATGATCCAAAAATCGATTTCTATATAGTTGAATTGGAACATGCAATTTTTAACCAGAAATCAGTTTCTATATAGTTTAATCGGAACATGCAATTTTTAACCAAATATTGTAGGATTCTAAGAAGATATTTATTTTGGGCTTGTTAGTTATAAAATGGGTTCTCTAAGCGTTTAAAATTCATGAATTGGCTTAATAAAAATGCAGATTCCTCTCAAAATTAATTTGTTTTATCAGGTGGATTGTTAGAGCACTTTGATGATAACTTTCAAGGAAAATCTTTCAACTTCTATCAGTGTGAGAGGTCGATATTTGGTGGCTTCTATTTAGGTACTTTTTCAACTACGACTTTGTTAATGATTTTTGTGCAACAATTGAGCTTTGTCAAAATTCCTACACTCCAATTTTCCTTTTTAATGATCCTAAATGACGATGCTTTTTGTTCAGTCAAATATATATTTTTTAATTTCAAATTTTGACAACTTCTTTATTATTGTTTATAGAGGAAATTAGACATGTTTTCTAATTTTGCATGAAAATGGGCCAATTTATGCATAAACTAAAGTTAGTGGACTGTGAATTTTGATCTTTGATGTGTTCCTTTGTGTATCTCATTCTAGGATTGCATTAATAAACACTATACTTTTAAAACTACTGCATAAAGTTATCCACATTTCCTTGCAAGGTTCTACTTAACACACCTTAATATGTTGTCAGCCAAGTATATCACTCAGAGCCCTGGTTTATTATCTGGCTACTTAGAATTATTGCTCACTCATATAAGCCCTCCATCCTCTACATGAACAAACAACACTCTCGTTGCTTCCCATTTCATTAATTATATGAATTTTAAGTGCCACTTGCTTGCTGAAGCTAGAAATTAAATCTTAAAACATGGTCAATTTGCTAAATTCTACCATTTGATTAGATGTATTTGCAAAAAAATAGGAATTTTAAACTCAAAGAACACCTTCAAAACCCCTCAAATCTAATGATTTACATTTCATACAGCAAATGAGTGAACGTAAAATCATCCTTTCAAAAGCAGATTTTTCTAACTATAAGAAACCGAGCACCTAACTATAACTCCCTTGCTAACAACATTTGAATTTGACATCACATCATCATTTCTGAGACAAAACCCTTAAACAAACAAGTACATACAGGAAACATATTGAGCAGAATAAAGAAGAGTGCACTGGTTATTGACATTGGCTAGAAAACAAAATACATTGATGAACCAGAGATTAAAATTTGAGCTAACCGGGCAATTTTAAAAATGCTCATAAGCGGCAATGAGAGGCATGGCGAAGGAAGAACCCGTATCCGGCATTGATTTTCATCGCTTAGAATATTCTCAAGCCAATTTCTACGCCATGAACGAGCCACCATCAATGGTGTTGCACTGCAGCAAAATTACAAGAGCATCAGAGTAATGAACTACATTTAAGACAATAATATAAGAGCCTTGTATAAAAATTAAAATATTTCTTATTATATTACATGTTTAATCTCATGGTGAATTTGTTATGGCAGACCTCAATAATTCAAAATCATATCTTTAATGAGGAAGATTGAAGAAAGAAGTAGCATTTAGAAACCACCCTATAAACATTCCACCTCAGTTATTTCCAACACTCAACAGCCAGAGAAAACACATTCTATTGAGAAAGAATAGAAGGTAATGAAAAAAATTCTACAGCAACGCTGAAACTAAATATGCAAGATGAGTAGACCGATAGCGAAAGAAGTTCATGAAAACAAAAAGGGAAAAAATAGCTAGAAAGACGTAAGATGTGACAACTGAATACAAGTAAAAACTAGAAGAAAATGAATGGACTATTTTTATAGATTTTTTTTTCCATAGCAATAAAAACATTCTCTATTCATGCTACCCTTTCCTATATCGAAAATATGTTCACATATTATCATTTAGTCTTTTATAGTTAATAACCATTCTGGCTTTATTTCTTTTTATTTCAACATGATTTCGAACCATAAAGGCTGCCGACCTATGAGGGGATTTTGAGGGTTTAATTAACCTTAACTTTTTTAATTCATTTATTTGAGTTATAAATTCTTCTTTATCTTGAGGTGAATATTCTAATTCTTTAGTTTTGATTATTAAATCTTGATTTATAATAGCTAATTCGGCAAATTCTTGATTTTTATCCCAATGTTTAATTGGGTCTTCTCCTATAATTTGGATTTCTTCAGCTAATTGAAATATTTTTTCTAAAGCTTTAGGAATGCTAAATGTTGTTTGTTTGTCATCAGAAGATTTATAACGGTGGGAAAGATAAAGAGAAACTGAAGGGTCACAAAAAGATGGTGAAGGTCCACCACACTTTGGCAGTACTCTGATTTTATTAGTAGGGATTGTGGTACTACGCTTACTAATTGTGATGAATTCTTTTGTAATACTAAGATGTCCATCTAAAGAGAGAATGAAATTGAGTCCTAAGATAAATTCTGGTTTTACTGCTTCATGTATCAAGATTTTTGGTAAAGAATATTTTTCAGTGAGTAAATCAGGGGTGATAAAAAATTGTATTTGACTATTAAGAAGACATTTATCAAAATGGAGAGAGTGATTGCCAACTAATTGGGAAGAAGTATTGGTAGGATGATAATTATATTTTTTGGGTAGAAGATTGGTGGTAATAACCGAAGTTGTACTACCATTGTCAATTAAGGCTTGGATATCAAATGATTGATTATTTTCTAGAATTATTTTTGAAGAAACAGATAATAGAGAAGTAGGATAGTTCTGGGCTATCATATTATCTGTAGTTTGGTGAGCTAAATCTATTTTATTTAGGGAAATGATATTATCGTCACTTGGCTGAATATCAAACAGAAAGTTAGCTTATTTTCAACTAATAGAGATTTTTGGCAAACAAAAATAAGTTTTTAAAGCATTTAATAACTACTCACTCATAGTGAGTAAACTCATATCCAAAAAATAAATTATTATGAACTATATATCTAAGAAAACTTTAAATAAAACTGAACTAAAACTTTATTATATCATAGAGAGAAATACTTACAAAGAGAGGCTTGACTAAGACTTGCAGAAAGAAAAACTTGCTCACAAACAACTTTCACACTACTTTTGGAAGGCTCTCATAACACCACACACTTAAGAGAGACGAACTCTCTGTTTATAATACATCATCATAAAACATAACTGCGGTATCATTACCGCATATAACATTTAAATAAGAATTTTACTATATTAGAAAGGACACTACAGTAAAAAGAGAACAGTAGAATCTGTACTTGATTAAGACCGTTTGTCATACTTATCATTTTTCTACCTATCAGCTTATCTGAATTCATCTGTTTTGCCGATTTTACCCTTGCATAGCATTTTCTATATTCGCTAGCCCTTCATCATCCATCCCATCTATCCAGAAACGGTCGTTTGTCTCGGGATCTGAAAGTGGCATATTCCGTTCGGGAGTTAAATTTTGATACTAGGTTTGATAATCTCCTTTAGTAACGATCAGATGTGAAGAAAAAGTTTTAACATATTCTAACAGATTAACGTCTTTGACATAAAATCTGAATATGAATAGAGGTCCTTTGACTAATTTACTGTGAAGAAAAATCATCATATCTTTATCTTGATATGCTAGCTGCATGTAAAATATTGGTTTAGCAAAACCTTTCTCAAATTGTGCTATCTGAAGAGCTCGATAATATTTTGATGACTGATCGGATAAGGTAGGATCAACTGTTGAGTGAGGCGTGTCATCATACTATTCTGCTTTAAAGCTTTCTGGAGTTTTATGAATTTCAATAATGTGCTTGGCACCATCCATAAATTCTTCATAAGCTGGTCCAATAGAATTTAGAATTATGGTTATAGAATAAATTCTATAATCTTCAAATATTTGCCAAATGATTCTCTTGAGTTCAGCATGTTCAAGACATTCAATTTGATATGATAATTTATCATCTCTGCTAATGATGAGTTTACTCAAAAGTTCATATTCCATTAATTTCTGAATAGTCCATTCCTGAAAATTTTTTACATGAGTCAAATTAATAGATAGATGAATCATGTAGAATCCTGGCATGCAGATTTTGCAGAGGCATTATCTATTTTCTGATGCTGTTGATGAAAATAGAGTCTTTGAAGCATAGGAGATGTCAGAAACTTCTTCGTTGGATATATATGAAAGGACTATGTCTTTGTAGACTGTTTCCATATCTATCTTTTTGCTATTTTGGACTTTTTTGAAAATACTTCTTTTGATGTTTTCATCCATTTCTGAGAGATACATATATTGTAGTCGCTTCAACATATTGTCTTCTGATATATCTAGGATAATATTAGACAAATAATCTTGATCTTTTATTATTTCTTCATTTTCTTTTTCTAATTCCTTAAATTTTTGTTTCTCGATTTCTATAGACTTTTCTAATTCTCTAATTTTTGTTTCTTGATTCGCTATAACTACATTTTGTAAATTTGTATGAGTTTTCGGGACAAGAGAAATATTCCCAATATTTACTTCAGCTCTTAATTTGCTAATTTCATTATTTAAAAATTCTACTTGATTATTACCATTAAAACATATAGTTAGACAATTTAAAGTATGTATCATAGCTTTAGTATCTGATTTGTTACACCATAAATTATCTAATAGAGTATCTTGATATATATTTAATGGTTTTGCTATAAGTATTTTGGGTCGGAATTGAAGATTCGTTTCCTGTCTATTGGATAATGCTAGATGATCAAAATGAACTATATTAGTGAAGCTTGGTTCAGGTTTGGAATGAGAAGGATCCATAAATTCCTGCAAAAAAGAGTAGAATTATTATTAGTAAAAATTCCTATGTTTCTTAAATATGTTTTTCTAAAATATCAAGGAGGTTTATAATTTGAAGATCTAGTGACTCTTGATAAATAATCTGCTAAAAAATTATTATCTCCTTTAATATGCTCAAAATTTACTTTGTAACAATTTCCTTCTATTGTTGTAATAAAATTTACCCATCTTTTACTATATATCTTCTTCTCATTTTTATTTTTATAAAAATGTACTATGGCTTCGCAATCTGTTCTTATAGTAAATTCTTTTTGTAAAAATAATTTAAAACTATGTAATGCGTTTATTACTCCTAATATTTCATAATCTAGAGAAGTTAGGGATTTATGGAGTTGTTTAAAACTTCCTGAAGCATATCTACATAATTTTTCTTTTGACTGAAAGGCTTCTTTGTAAGGTTTTATTTTTAATTCAGCTTCCCAACCATCTTCAGATGCATCAACTACTACTATTTTATAATCTGATTCTAATAATAAAGTTAATTTTGGTAATGTTTGATTTGTGTTTTTATTTTTTTTATTATCTTAATATCTTCTTAATTAAAATATTTTTGTCCATTTTTACTAGTTTTTTTATACAAAGATTTTATAGTTTTTCCTAAATCTTTAATATAAGGACGAGCATAATTTAGAAGACCTAAAAATTTTTGTAATTCTTCAGTTTCTTCTATCTTATATGGAAATTGTAAAAATTTTAGGGCTATATGATCTTGTAATTCTATTGAGCCATTACCAATTCTTTGTCCTAAGAAATCAATATATTCTTAGGCTATTTCGATTTTCTTTTTTGATAATATAATACCATTATTAATGCAAAGTTTTAAAACTTCTTCAATATGTTTATAATGATCTTTTAAAGTGTGAGAAGCAATGAGAATGTCGTCTATATAAACCATAACATAATCTAAATGGCCAAATATATTATCCATTTTTCGTTGAAAAATACTTGGAGCATTTTTTAATCCAAAAGCCATTATTTCCCATTCGTAATGTTCTATGGGAGTAGTAAATACTGTCCAAGGAATAGAATTTGGATTAAGTTTTATCTGCCAAAAACTAGATTTATAATCAAACTTGCTAAAATATTTTTTATCCTGTATTAAATTGATTAACATATCTTTATCTGGGATTTTGTATCCATCATCTTCAGTATTATTTATCATATAAAAGTTCTTTTTGAAAGTTGAAATAACTTTCAACCTCTATGATTGAGTACAGTAAATTCAAAAATTCATGAGTTTGAATCCCATAAGTCCCCATTTATGCTTTGTCTTTGGGCTGGTGGAAAATACTCCTGAATCTTTGAAGAATATTTGTATAGTCGATGTATGTCGAATTATTCTCGCACCTGTTAAAGAGAAAATTTATATCATAAATAATAGTTATAGGATATTTTCTTAAATTTACCTATGGAGAATGAGGAATCAAAGAAAAAAAAAATTAAAGCAAATTTTACCTTTTTAGGAGAAATAATTCTTAAAAATATCTTGATATATCCATAAAAAGTAATTCAAATGGTTCTTCGATTACGAGCAGATTTACCTATAGAAATTAGAAATAAT